TAAGCCATACAGTCGTTCATTTGTGCAGTCGAAAACCTTTTCAGCACCTATTCGGCACAAGGCGTCGGGCCAGACACTGAGCCCTCGATCGTCCACCCAAGGCCGGTGGAAACGACCAACCAGAGGCCACGCGTCATCCTTCCAAGTTCTGCCCCAAGCACAGGAGTAACAGAGACGTGAACAAATGCGGTCTGTGTGTGCAGCCTAATTCCAACATCTCAACTCCCCCTGCCTGAGTCCGGAGGCAAAGCGGGGTCCAAGAACAGGTCCCTGTAGAAAATGCTGGTGGCTTAGCGACACTGCGCTCAGGTGCCTGCACTGCATCCCACTGAGCAGATGTGAAGGCAAAGGAGGGGAGGGACCATGAGAAAACCCAAGATTTCGAGACAGTCCAATTCTCTCCGCAGCCCCCTCTCACTTGACTTCTCCTTCTCGTCTTCTTTGAGGCTGAGAAGACCACAATCGATTAGCACTTATTGAAGGTCCACTAGGTGCTAAGACCCGATGCCAAATAATTTTACAGCCAGGAACTTGGAACCTTTGCTTCGCACATGCTGTTCCCTCTGCCTGGAACCTCCTTCCTCTCCTTCCGGCTTAAATGTCACCTCATCAGAAACGTGCCCGCTCAGGCAGGAATGCCCTGATGCTCCCTCAGAGTGCCCACGACAACTGTCATGGCCCGTTTGCCGTCTCTCTCCCCAGCAGGACTCGGCTCCCTGCACTATCTGACACACAGACATGCAGCAGTTTTTTGTTTTGTTTTGTTTTGTTTTGTTTTTAACAGGCTCCACACCAGAGGTGGGGCTTGAACTCAGGACCCTGAGATCAAGAGGCATCTGCTCTACTCACTGAACTTGCCAGGCGCCCAGCAATACCTCTTGCTTAAATAAATTAAGCCACCTGTAATGTAACAATAAAAGCCCCAGGTTCACTGAGCAGGTACTATGTGCCACGTGTCACGCTGAGCTCCACGCAGACATGAGGTCATGACAGCCGCGTGACAGCCACACTATTATTACTCCTGGTTACAGATGTAGGAAACTGCGTCATTTCCCCCCCTATTTTTAAAGAACAGAAATTAGAACCTGGTAAGCAACTTGCCCAAGGCCACAGAGGGCTGACAAGAGAGCAAGGCTCTGAACAGCTCCCGACCTGAATGTCTCCCAGGCCACCAGGACTGCTCAGCCCCTTCCCTCTGCCCCGCAGCGCCCAAAGGGGCATATTTCTTTCTCCCGTGCCGCCAGGGACCGGTCGTCCCCTTCCTGAGTTCTCAGCCTCCTCTCCCAAGGCACCCAGTTCAGAAATCTTGACTCCCCCCTTCGTGTCCTACACCCGGAGCTCCCACACCGGATGCGATGCGATGTCTTGTAAAACAGTCCCTCGGCTTTCTGCCCTGGGGCTTTCTGGGACTACAGAAGCTTTGAGAATGCTGACCCCTTGACATCCAGCACAGCAGGCAGGGAGGGCATGCCCCTCCCCAGTGAGCTCACACATGGGACCTGTAGTTAAACCCAGCTTTCCAACCCCTGCTCGGTCCCTACTCCCCTCTGCTCATCCCCACTCCCCTCTGCCCATATTCATGGCGCTGCTGAGCGTAGGGGCATGACAGCCACCATAGCTCTCAACAGGGAAAGGGAGGGAGCTGCCCGCACTCACTCCAGAGCTTCGGCTGGAGAAGTCAGTGAGGGCCCACAAGGCCCAGGAGAGCCAGGGAGGACTTGAGTTCCTGTTCAGGGGAGTCACTCACAGCCGGCCCTGGAAGCCAGTGGGAGGGCAGACCCCACGACAACAGTGCGCTCCAGGGCCCGTCCTGGGTCGCACGGGGTCATCACAACCAGAAGCCGCTGGAAGAAGAAATGGGAAAGGCAGCTGGGCCTAAAATACGAAAGGATGCCTGTGGGGAGAGCATCCTGAGGGGAAGCAAAAAAGGAGAGAGGAAGGCCAGGGGTTCTCAGAGTTCTCTGCAGGAATAAGGGAAGGAGAGACGGTAACGCTGTCCCTCATGTGTGTAGCACGAGGCCGGGGACCTCAAAACATTTCTGCAACGTTCAGGGGCTCCCTGTTGACCACACCGGGGTCAAGTTCAAACTCCCTAGCGGGGCCTTCAAAGATCTTGATGCGTAGGTCCACCGTGGCCACGTCTGGGAGGCGAGGTATCCCAGGCCTCCCTCCACACTCCGCCCAGGGGCTCCTCATCCTTCTCGCTTCTAGAAGACTTCCAGCACATCATGGGGTTAGTGGAGGAAGAGCTTGGGCTCCAAGGCCAGACCCTCCGGTTCAAAGCTCGGCTCCACCAACTACCACCACTGGAACTTGCTAGGCGGGCTCTCTGCAGAGAGGGAAGGTAACTAATCCCACCTGACCAGGTTGGGGGTGGGGGGAGGATGAAACACAGTGATTCATCAAAGCGCTCTGAACTGTGCCTGGCACACAGTAAGTGCTTAATAAACAAGCTGTTGTTCCTATTGTCCTCTGCACCCCTTTGGGGCCTCTGTTTCAACCACAAGTAGAGCACTGTCTTGCATGTTTGTTACACGCTGGACTCCTTCGGCCAACCACGGCCTTTTAGAAGGCACCGCCCACCATTCAGGACTCTGTCCCCTGAGGCCTAGCATGGAGCCCAGCACACAGTAGGACTTCAGCGAGTGCTTACCGCCACGGTCAAGGCCCGTGGCAGGCCCCACACAGAGCTGACCCAGGGCCCAGCTGCTGGCCCTCCACAATGCGCACACCAAGTCCCCAGCCGAAATGCCCCACAGAGCAAGAAGGGCATTCGCTGTTACTCGGTTTCAAAACAATGAAGGGCTGCACTCTGCTTTACTGAGTTTCCACTCCAGGGAACGAACGAGGAGAAATGAGCACAGCAGGGACTGGAAATAGCACTGAGCCCCTCTCGGGGCGAGAGCTGGGCTGGCCCGCCAGAAACCGGGAGCAAAACCTCAAAGGCAGAGAGGGAGAGCCCACGGGCCACGGGGGTGGGCCAACACGAGTGAAGTAGGACACGGAGCTCACTCGCACCCATTCTGCCTTGAGGGTCTCCTTCCCGCCCACTTGGAGAGCTTTAGAAGGGGTTCCCTGTATAACCCACCACCATGCGGGAGCAACTTACAACACATCCAGAGCCCCAAGGGCCGCACGAAGGCACCCCAGGTTGCCTACGATCTTCAGTTTGGGGTGGGGGGATTCAGTGTCTTCTCTACCCAAATGGGTTAATGGGCCCTGCTGTCTGAATGGGGGTCACTATCTCCTGAGCACACCAAGCCAGGCACCAGGCCCCATTCATCTTCAGATGCCTGTGCCCCTAGCACGGTGCCCAGCACATAGAAGATGTTCAACCAGCAACCGGACAGCCAATTCTGGCAGCAAGACCAGTCCTGGCTCAAGAGTGACTCCCCGGAGGTCTGCCACGCACCAGAGACAAGGGAGTCATGTGCCACCCCCCACCCCCCGGGGTCTCAGTTTCCTCAAGTGCACACAGGGAAGACAACGGCACTGTACACACAAAGCCACCGAGGAAATTAACGGGGGACACATAACGGTAAGCACCAAAGCACGAGGCGAATGTTCATCATCCTTCAAGCCTCGGCTCAGCTGTCCCCATGTGCTGGACCTCTGCCACTGGCCATGTTCCCCCTCCTCCAGCAGTGAACACACCCTGAGCTCTGGCTGTTGTTTTATATTCTTCACTTCATTGAGATTACCCGTTGCTAAGTTTTATTGTCACCCCCCTCACTCACTCACACACACACACACACACACACACACACACACCAACCCAAGAGCTCCCAGAAGCCAAGGGCATCAATAGTTCGTGTCCGAGGTCTGTGACAAAATGGGCACATGGGTAGGGCTTCTGGGGCCCGCCCACCCCACGGTTCCACACCGATATGCACGGCACCCTCTGAGGAGCCTGGGGGGGGCCACCAAGCACGCTGCAAAGGAACAAAGATGGGAAGGGACGCTGCAAACAGAACCTGTGAAGGAAGTCACACCTCTGAGACCTGCATCCCCTCGGAGGTGCAGGTGAGCTTGTTTGCCTGGCTGGCTCCACAGCGCACAGGCCTCCAGGGCACAGATTGCTGCTTCTCTCCTTACGTGAAACACCCAGCAGTCAGATAAATAATACATGGCCTTCACCTCGCACACAGGTATCAGGCGTGCAAACATCTGCTTTGTGCCATGGTGCCCTGGGCGTGCGGGCACACCCATGCCTATGTGTATATAATATCTGGCCTTGCACAACCCCAGAGAGAACACGAATTGGGAACAGATACCCAGGCCCCTCCCTCAACCCTCTTGTCTTGCCATGGCCTGGGATCAGCTGGTACCCGACCTGAGCACTGTGCTCAGAGAGGAAACGTACAACCCACGGGATGGACACATGCGCCCTAAAGCAGTCTCTGCGGTTCCTTTTCAACCAAATATCCTCTGAGCCCCAGGTTAGCCTCGATGCCCCTCCAAGCAGCTGGCTTGGATGCAAGGCGTGTACACCCTCCATGCGAGCATCCCCGAAGGCCTGGCCAGGCCAGCCACACTCCCAGATCACAACCACCCGCACAGGGCACGGATGCCTCCCCCACTCGGTGGTGCCAGGCGCCAGCACACCCACCGGGCACACACAACCCCACTTGCAAAAGGCCTGTCCATCCGCCTTCCCTCTTCCCCGGCCACCCCCACAGGCAGGTCCGATTACACTCCAGGCGAAGGCCTGCCACGTTGGCGAGGAGGGGGCCAAGGCACACCCACGGGCAGCCCCGCGACCCTGCGGGGCGGGGAGGGGGCGCAGGGCGGGACGGGCTGGGCGGCGGACTCCCCCTCCCTCGTCGGCCGGGCAGGCCACCTTCGTGCCTCCCCCTCCCGGGGACCTGCGGCCAACGCGACCCCTGGGGCGCTCCCCGCGCGGGCCTCTCCAAAACGGAGCAGCCCCCCGCCCCCGGGAGCCCGCAGCCACCCCCCTACCCCCACAGGGCCTCCGGCGTGAGGCCGGTCAGGCCGAGTACCTCAGGAGCCCATGGCTGAGGCGGCGGTGGCCTGTGCGGACGGCGCGCGGCGGCCGGACTCTGCTGGCGGGACGGGCGGGCGGCGCCGCAGCCCCGGTGTCTCGCCGCCGCCGGCGGGTCCCGGGCCCAGCGGAGTGCCGCCGCGGCGCGCCTGCGCGCTGAGCACGTCTCCGGGGAGGGCGGGGCGGCGAGCGCGCCGCTGAGATCACCGGCCCGGCCTTAAAGGGGCCGCGCTCGGAACCCCCAGCTCTCCGCGGGGTGGTGGGGGCGACCTAGCTCCCAAACAAACCCTCCGAGAGTCGTCTCCCCCACCTCAATTCGACTCCCCCAACCCTGCCCGCCACAGAGCTTCTTAGGGTGCACGGACAGAGTCCGTGTGGGCTCCGAGGTCTGTCCCCGACCCTCGCAGGCTGTCTGGCGCTTCACTTTTCTTAACTCTAATTACCTCCATTTGGGCCTGTTTGGAAGGTGGTACAATCTGTAATGGCTATTTGTCGAGTGGAAGGATGCCTGTGGAAATGTGGAATTAACGTGTACTGAAGCGCTGTGGGCAATCACGCGAGATGAAATTGCAGAGCAGAGAACGAGACTTTTTCTTCCCATCCCGCTTGACCGCGGCGCTTCGTTCTTGCCCCGCCTGTCTCTAGGCAGCCTAACCAGCAAAATTTTTCAGAGGTCATTCAAGCCGCCAGCCCATTGTTGTTTGCCAGCTCCACACCTTAACCCAGGTTAACTGAAAAAATCCGATCAAGTTCTGACGTTGATGTGCTCAAGATCCCCACATGTATTTATATCCGCTGCCCAGACCCCTCTTCTGAACTGTCTCCTTAACACTTCATACTTGATGGGGCGCCTGGGCGGCTCTGTTTCGGCTTAGGTCACGATCTCACAGTTGGTGGGCTTAACCCCACCCCCACGCCCACCGCCCGCCTCCCCCTTCCTCCCCTCCCCCCCCCCCCCCCCCCCACTGCACTGGCAGTGAAGAGTGTGCTTGGGATTCTCTCTCTCTCCTCTCTCTCTCTCTCTGTCCCTCCCCCACTCACAGTCTCCGTCTCTCTCAAAATAAATTAAAAAACAAAACAAAAAACAACTCATACTTGAAGCCCAGTAGGCATCTCAAAGTCAATGTGCCTACTAAACACATACAAGCCGGCCCCCTCACAGCCTCCCCCAACATCCGTTGGCAACTCTGTCCTTCCAGCACTCAGGGCAGAACTCCTGGAGTCGTCCCTGCCTGAATCCCTCCTCCCGCCCCCTTACCACTGGAGCAGGAAATCCTCTTGGTTCTACCTGCAAAATATATCTCCACTCCGATCTCTTCCACCCGATCTCTCCGCTGCTAACACTCTCATCCAGTTTCTGTCGAGGATCACAGCAACATTCTTGTTATAGACAATGTGTGTCCCCCAGATTCATATGCTGAAATCCTAACTCCTTAGATGATGGTATTGGAGGTGGGGACTTTGGGAAGTCATCAGGTCGTGAGGGTGGAGTCCTAATGAGTCGGATTAGTGCCCTTATAAAAAGGATCCCAGAAAGTCCTTTAGCCTTTCTGCCATGTGAGAAGAGAAGAGGTTGGTAATCTGTAACCCAGAAGAGGATTCTCACCAGAACCCAATCATGCTGGCAGGCGCCCTGATCTCAGACTTACAGCCTCCAGAACTAGGAGAAATGAATTTCTGTTGTCAATAAGGCCTCTCTCATTGAGGCTTCCCTGACCACACCAATAAAATTGCCAAGCCTCTCACGTGTGCTCCTGATTCCCCTCTTACTACACTCTATTCTTCCCCTTATCACTTAATTTCTATTCTCATATATAGTTTGCCTGTTTTTCTGTTTGTCTTCCATCAGTAGCACAAAAGCCCTATGAGGACAAAGATATGCATTCTTTTCATTTCCTGATCTAATCCCAGTACTTAACTCTGGGGTTGGCATAGAGAACGCGTTCAAAAGGTATTTGTAGCACTGATGAATGTCTTCTAAAAAGAGTCCTATAAAAAAAATTCTTCCCCAGCCTCGGGTAAGAAGTTCCTCAGGACAAGCCTTATTGGCTGCGTTATAATAATCTGTTTAGGACTCCCCAGCTCTCCAGGGCAAAGTCCTGGTCCCAGTTTCGCTATGTCTTTCTTCACTTTTTCTGGAAAGCTTACAAACCAGACACATTCCAACATCTGCGAACCCCTTCAGAGTGTTTGAGCCAAACTACATGCAAATTCAGGTTTCTCAGCCCCTGCTTGTCAAGGGTTCCACATCTTGGGTCTCACTTACGGAGGCCCTAGGCTGGCAGGGTCTGAGACAAGTGGTGGGTATTTTTTTTAATAAGTTTTTTAAAATATTTTTATTTATTTCTAGGAGAGAGAGAGAGAGAGAGACAGCGTGAGCAGGGGAGGGTCAGAGAGAGAGGGAGACACAGACTCTGAAACAGGCTCCAGGCTCTGAGCTGGCAGTCAGCACAGAGCCCGACGCGGGCCTCGAACCCACGAACCGCGAGATCATGACCTAAGCGGAAGTCGGACGCTTAACCGACTAAGCCACCCACGCGCCCCAAGTGGTGGGTATTTTTAAGCTTGAAGACAGAAACTCACCTGGCCTTAGTGACATGGCAGGTTAGAGAGCCCTGGTTGTTTGCTCCCTGCCTTTCCTCATCCTCTCTCCCAGGCTTTCCAAAATGAGAATCAGTATCTACCCCCTCTGCCTCTTCCCCACTCCATGCAGTTGCCTGTCCACGGAGGCTCAAAGATGCTGCTCCTATATGTCCCTTCTCCCCTCCACACTTGGGACCACTGCCCTGGTGCAGGTCCCCTTATCTCTGGACAATTCTAACAGTTCCCCAGGCCACCAGCCATCTTTATACCCACCCGGTGGTTGGACTGAAGGCAGAATGCCTTTCTTCACCTCCAGCAAACAGCTACTCTTCCCTCAAAGACCAAGCCGGAGGGCACCTTCTGGTTCCTTCTCGATCCCAATGCAGGACAACAGTGGCAGGATTATAAATATTGGTTTGGTTACCTTCTCCCTCCCACTCTCCCTCATCCCTTGTTTCTCTGATTTTTCCAAAATTTGTTGGCAAAAAGCATGTAATATTTTCAAGATAAGAACAAAGGGCTTTTTTAAAAAAAGATTATTTATTTTTAAAGAGAGGGAGAGAAAGAGAGCACGGGAGGAGCAGAGAGAGGGAAAAAGAATCCCAAACAGGCTCAGCACTGCCAGGGCGGAGCCGGATGTTCAACCCACAAACCGGTGAGATCATGACCTGAGGCGAAATCAAGAGTCTGACCCTTAACCGACTGAGCCACCCAGGCACCCCGAGAACAAAGGTTATTTAAATAAATGATACGTTGTTTTCTTCTCACTGTGCCTCTGAGAACCTCTCATTGGTAGGGACCTGGTTGCCTGATCTCCACATCTAAAATCCACCCCTAGCATTTGGGCGGGGAGTGCAGATTCAGGAAAAGCCAAGACCTCAGCAGTGCAAGCTGATGAGTGGCGCAGAGCCCAGAGCACTCAGGTTACCTGCAGCCTCCGTGTCTCCAACTTGTCCCCAAGGATGCTGTGGGAGACCTGGCCTGGTGCCCTGGAAAGGCAGCATGTGTGGCAGGCAGAGCACAGGCCTACCTCCATTACTTCCTAGTTGTGTACCTTGGGCGTGTGCCTTTGTCTCTCTGAGCTTCAGTTTCCCCATCAGTAAATAGGTGGAATGTAAGAACGCCCCATCTGGTAGAATTGTCCTGATAAACATAGGTGAAAATGTCAGCACAGTACTGTGCACACGGCCGATTGGGCTGCCGTCCACAGAAGATGAGTGCTGAAGACCCAGCTAACTTTTTACCTGCATTAGACCCTTTTGTTTGCAAAGAGACTGAACCCCAATTCAAGTGAAACAATGAGAGTGAATTTATGGGCTCGATTAGGAAGTGCAAGGCAGATCTGGACTTGAGGCTTCCCACACGGTCATTGGGACACTATTTCTCTGTCGTGTGTGCGTGTCTGTGTGTGTGTGCGCCTGCGTTGACCTTATTCTCAGGTTGTGTTCCCCCCCACCTCCCTCCCCCACCGGTGACAATGGCAGAGTACCTCTTTCTCAAGAATTCTCAAAGTTTTGTCTCAGCGTTGCCTCTGATTGGCCCATCTTGGGTCATGTTTCCACCTCTGAGCCAATCGTTGTAGCCAAGAGATTGCAGTGCTCCAATTGGCCAGGCCTGATCATGGCCCTCCCCTGGAGCCAGGGGGTGGAGTCCGTTGCAAACAGCCCAAAGCTCTGAGCAGGGAGAGTTTATTAAGGAAAATGGGATGTCCAGAAGAACCGGGAGTGCTGGGGAGGAAAAACCCTCAGATGTTCAGCAGCTCAGAACGTTTAGGTGGTTCTCCCAGCGTTACCCAGAAAGGACAAGGGCTGAAGTGTGACTTCAACAGCAGACACCGTGGGGAACTAGGACAGAGCCATTAGGAAGGGATGGCTCTTTCTGATGCCTTTAGCCTGTGCAGTGGCCAAACTACTTGGGTCAGCTCTCAGCTCTGCCGCTGCCAGGTTGTGAGACTCTGGGCAACTCACTTAGCTTCTCCGAGCCTCAGTTTCTTCCTCTGTAAAATGGGGGTTCCTAATAGTACCCATCCATCCCTTCGGGGCTGATGTGAGGATTAGATAACACAAATAAAGCTGTCAGAACAGGCCCTAGCAGGTTACCGGCACTCAGTGTGTGTTGCTTTAAAAACCTTTTTTTAACGTTTTTATTTATTATTGAGAGACCGAGAGACAGAGCACGAGCAGGGGGAGGGGCAGAGAGAGGGAGACACAGAATCTCCCTCTCCCAAGTGGACCCCACGCTCCAAGCTGTCAGCACAGAGCGCAAGGCGGGGCTTGAACTCACAAACCGCGAGATTATGACCTGAGCCGAAGTTGGATGCTTAACGACTGAGTCACCCAGGTACCCTGAAGTGTGTGTTTTTACTATCTGCAAATAGAAACAGTAAGAAGGTCCTTTCTGAAACTCCTGTCTGGAACTGAAAACATAAACGGGCTCTACGGGGCTGATTTTGATGAAGCAAACCTGCTTCAAACACTGTCATCAGGGATTTCATTTCCAGCAGCCACCTCGTCTGGTGGCAGGGCCTTGATGCG